TTGCACCCTTATTCATAGAATCATGGCGTTGAAAGGGGCCTCTAAGGCCATCCAGTCCAACCCCCTGCTCAAGGCAGGAAGCCAAATCCAAGCAGATCTGACAGAGGGTGGTCCAATTTTCTCTTGAAAGCCTGCAGTGTTGGAGTGCTCAGCACCTCCCAAGCTCATTGGCTCCATTATCATACTGCTCGAACAGTTAAGAGGTTTTTCCTGATACTCACCCTAAATCTGGCTTCCTGTCACTGGCACCCATTCTGACATGTCCTGCTCTCTGGGAGGACGGAGGACAGATCCTGCCTCTCCTCTGTAGGACGACCTTTCAAGTCTTTAAAAAGTGCTCTCCTATCTCCCCTCAGGCTTCTTTTTTCATGGCTAAACAGGCCCACCCGGGTCGTTCTGTCTTTCCTCCTTCTAGGGCTTGGTTTCTGCCCCCCCCCGATCCTCCTTCTTGCACCTCCTCTGAACTTGTTCCAATTTGTCAGTATCTTTCTGGAAGTGCGGTGTCCAGAACTGGACACAGTACTCAAGGTGAGGCCTAACCAGTGCTGAATAGGTTAGTTCAACCTTGTCTGGATGCATTGCAGCTTCTCAAAATTGTACTTAACTGCCATATCCAGAAGTGAATTAAGCCTCCCCCCCCCAAAAAAAAATCTCTTATTTGCTCTCCTTTCTGAACCAGAGCAGATGCATCGCCTTGTTCCCTTCTGTCTTGCTTTTAATCTCCAGATTTGGTATCGCCATAGGGTTCCTGGGGAATATGAGGGAGAGATGGAGGAGGTGAGAAGGAATACGTACCTTAGAAACCAGGCTGTGGGGAGTTGGAAGCCGAAGCAGCTGAATTGCAGGATCTAGTTCATTGTGTTGGAAACCATCGGCCCCCACACCAATTGCTCCCAGAATCTGGGGACCTTCTATTAGACCAGAGCTGATTTCTCCCATAGGTCCCTGAAGACGAGCTCTTTAAGGTGAAAAGCAAAGACGGATGGGTGTTAAGAGCTGTGCGCATTTAACCTTGAGAAAAGAAGACCGAGGGGAAAGAGGAGAGCACTTTTCAAAGACTTGAAAGGCGGTCCTACAGAGGAGGGGCAGGATCTGTCCCCCACCCTCCCAGAGTGCAGGACACATCGTCATGGGCTCAAGTGACAGGAAGCCGGATTTAGGCTGAAGATCAGGAAAAACGTCCTAACGGTTAGAGCAGTATGACGACGGGACCCATGACCTCGGGAGGGGAGTGAGCACTCCAACACTGAAGGCACTCAAGTCAAAACTGGGCAAGCGTCCACTTTGCTTTGATCTGGATTCCTCCTTGAGCAGAGGGTTGGGCTTGATGGCCTTAGAGGCCCCTTCCAACTCCATTATTCTAGGATTCTATACATCTATACAGCAAAACATAAGGACACAACGCAGCCCACATTCGGGCCATTTGCCAGAAAATAAGAGGGCAAAATGTGTCTTATCTCTTTTTTCTTTTTCTTTTTGCCACATCCTTGGTTAAATCTTATACTGCTGGGTCCTGTACCAGAGCGGCCGTTCAGGAGGCTCACACTAATCGTTCTGCACGTGCCTCTAAGCCCTTGGGCCCGTACGTGCGAATCTAAGCTATGCCGGGCGCGGGTTCAACCCAGGCATTGGTGGTGGTGTGCGCCACCCCAGCCGGCTTGGTGGCGACCGGAAAGGGAATTAAAAAGCAAACACCCCGGCCTTTATCACCCCGGAGGAAACCGAGCCGGGAGATGTAGGTTTCGGTTCCTCGGCTGAACCACTCATCAGATAAATCTTTGATGAACAAGGTAGAGCAAAAAGCCATTTGATTTGAGTGAGAGATAGAAGGCTCGGTGGGAGCCGGGTGGAGTGGAAGAGATATAACTTATCCAGTCAGCTGTCACTTCATCCTTCCACCAAATGGGCAGGTTTTAAATCAAGCTGGATCTAACCCTTTAACGCTTCCCTCCTTGTAAATCCCTTCCAGCCAAATTTCCCATCATTTTGCATTCAAAAGGGCGGGGGGAAGGCTAGCCCTTCCCTTCAATGCCCAGGCATAAATGCATTGCTTTTAAGACCCTCCTTTATTCATTCTTTAATACTGCTTTTCGGAATACAACACCTGGTCATCACAGTGGCCGGGGGCCCACCGAATTTGTAAGCTGTACTAAATTTGCCTTCTTGTATGGCATGGCCATCTCTTCGTCCACCATATCCTTATAGGGCTCTTTCCAGTGCATCTGAAGAAATAGGAAGCCACAAATTTTCCCGTAAGGTTGAAACGTTTCTGCATTTTTAAAGCCATTGTAATAAACATCTTTAACATCCTCTGTCCAGGATCCCATACAGATTTATTTGAAAGGGCCGCTTGAGGCATTAAAAGTTTTCTGTCCCAAATGACGAGCTTTGAACCACACCAGCATCACTGGCGTGGGCCAATAATATCGGAAGGTGTCGCTTGCATCGTGGTGTACAAAAGGCTGGCTTCTGAACCCGGACACAATCTGCTGGTGGAATTTACACCCATTTACACCAGTGGGCATGACTGCAGGATTTTGTCCGGTCGATCAATCGATCGATCGATCGATGCCATATTAAATTTAAAATATTGCTCCCTTCCAGCTCTACATTCCTAAGATTATGATTGAAAACTGCTGGAGAGTTCGGTGGTTTAGGTTTCTGTCTACAGAGCCAGAGGTTATGAGTTCAAATCCCCCATGGGGCCTCCTTGACTGGACTGGATGATCCTTATGGGTCCCTTCCAGCTCTGCCGTTCTAAGATGATGATGATTAATTCAGGAAGTCTTGGCAATTAACATGTAATGGGCACTGACAATCCTTTCTCTGTTTAATTTCTCTGCCTCAATCAAGAGTCCTCTTTTTGTACATGTGAAATTCTGGGTCATCCTCCCTGCAGCTGTGGGGACCAGCTGATGTGTCCCCACTACTACTACAAAAAAAACTTGGGGGGCATCCCTTGATTTCATCTCTCCTTCCTTTGTCCCCCCAATTGGGGGGGGGAGATTAAGTCTTCACTCCCATTTCCGTTGACAACTCCGGGTGTGTTTAACCCCCACCCCTCCCGGCTGCTTACGGGGCCCAAAAGGTCACCCTGTTTTTGACGGAGAGGGCTCCCTGGCTCAGGTACCCATCTATATCTTCGCATCAGATAAAGTCTCTTGGCAGAAGCAAAGGAAGGAAGGAGAAAAAAAAGGAAGGGAAGAAAATGCAGACTCATAAAAGTGAAAACCTGCTTGGAATTGTAGATCGGGCAGCCCTGGGTGAGTGTTATCTTGTGAATTTTAATTTACACGGGGAGGGAGGAACAGATGTCGCAGGCGGATTGGGGGCTGGGAGAGACAGCTGCCACCTTTCTTAAGAACGCCGCGTGGCCCGCTAAGAGGCGAGTGTGGCGCCACCAGGCTTTTTCTCTGCCAAAGCAGGCAGGCCTCCTAATATAGCTGGTGAGAAAGAGGAAATCTCCCTCTTGTCTGATCTGCAATCTCCCCTTTCCTTTCTCTGTAGGATCGAAACATGCCACAAGATCCTTGGATCCTATCCTGGGGCCTCTAAGATTCATTGAATCCTAGAATGATGGAGATGGAAGGGGGGCCTCTAAGGCCACCCTCTGCTCAAGGCAGAAATCCCAACCCAAGCAGATCTGACAGAGGGTGTTTGTCCAGTTTTCTCTTGAAGGCCTCCAGCATCAGAGCGCTCCCCACTTCCTGAGGTCACGGGTCCCGTTGTCGTACTGCTCGAACAGTTAAGAAGTTTTTCCTGAGATTCAGGTGAAATCTGGCTTCCTCTGAGGCCATTATTCTCCAATTTTCTGGGAGGATCAAGAACAGATCCTGCTCCTTCTCTGCTTTTCTACCTTTCAAGTCTTTGAAAAGTGCTATCCTGTTTAAAACCTCCCCATTCTGAAGGAAATCAACCCCGAGTGCTCACTGGAAGGACAAGTCCTGAAGCTGAGGCTCCAATACTTTGGCCATCACATGAGGAGACTCCTTGGAAAAGCCCCGGATATTAGGAAAGAGTGAAGGCAAGAGGAGAAGGGGACGATGGAGGACGAGATGGGTGGACAGTGTCATTGAAGCGACCAACATGAATCTGACCCAACTCCGGGAGGCAGTGGAAGACAGGAGAGCCTGGCGTGCTCTGGTCCATGGGGTCACGAAGAGTCGGACATGACTTAACGACTAAACAACAACAACACTTGGACAGTAAGGCAAAAGGAGTGATTACAAAAGAATTGCATAAGTTTTAATGCTGACAATGAAGAAGTCATCATGTTTTACTTCTGTAATTTGGTTTGATCATGATCTGTATCCTCAAAAGGACCCCAGGCTTGGTTTTCTGGTCTACGTCTAGCTGAATCTAAGACAGTGGTTCTCAACCTTGGGTCCCCAGATGTTCTTGGACTACAGCTCCCAGAAAGCCTGACCAACACCACAAGTAGTGAAGGATTCTGGGAGTTGTAGTCCAAGAACACCTGAGAACCCAAGGTTGGGATTCATTGATCAAGGGTGTCCAAAAGGGGACACAGAACACCAGGTGAGTTCTCACCACATCAAAACAAAGTAGTACACTCAGATCCCTTGATGTGGACACCAAGCTTGATGCCCCCTTCCAGTCCATGGGCATTCCTCTCTATTTCGCTCCTGCATCGCCTTGAAGGCCTTAAGTTCTGGAATCATGTGAGTCAGTCTAGAGAAGATTCAGGGAATTCCATTCGCCCATAAGATTCCTGGATTCTAGCCAATCACTTGTCTCGTCTCTCATGAAGCATGGTTCAGCTTTCCACCAGGAGAGACAAAAGTGACTTGCTGGCCCACCTTCATCCCCAAGCGATGACACGGTGAGAAGGGCTCCCAACCAGCCAAAGGGGAGGTCACCTGAGATGCTGGCGTGGCATCATAGTTCTGCTTTGTGACAAGAGAGAGAAAATTCTTTAAAACTCTAGCTTTGTCACTCAGGGGTTGAGTTTGCAGACGGAGGACTGGAGGGAAGGATTGATCATGTCCTTCAGAAGTTCCAGGTCAAAATGCCCGGGACCTTCCCAGAAAAGGAGTCCTGGATCCTCAAAATCCAGGAGCCCGAGGCCAAGAATAGCAAGCCCTGGATCTCGGACATCTTCCAGAGAACGAGGTGCTAATACTGTGAGGTCCAGGACTCCTGAAAGAGCCCGAAAGATCATCAAAACAGGAGCCGTAGTGATAGATACAGGGACTGGGACCTGTAAAGCTGGGTTTGCAGGGCAACAGACCCCCCAGGCAGTTATCGAGACGGTGGTTGGGTACCCCACAGAGAAATCCATGAGAACAAGAAGAGACCGACCAGATACCTTTGTCGGGGAGTGCGCCCGGTTGGAGACCGACGTAGACATCATTTTGCCTCTCAAAAATGGTGTCATCGTTGACTGGGAAGCTCTGGAGGATTTGTGGAGGCATCTCTTCTACCACGATCTCAAGGCCGCCCCAGAAGAACATGCCCTGCTCCTGTCTGACCCTCCTCTCTGCCCAACGACCAACCGGGAGAAACTGGTGGAGGTAGTCTTTGAGTCCCTCAACTCTCCGGGGATGTACGTGGCTTATCAATCCGTCCTCTCTGTCTACGCCCATGGCAAAATAAGCGGGCTGGTGGTCGACACTGGCTACTCTACGACGCACACCGTCCCAGTCCACCAAGGATACAATTTGCCCCACGCCGCAGAGAGGATGGACATTGCTGGGGCCAACATGACGTCCTTCTTGATGGACCTCCTGAGGGACATGGGCCACGACTTTGACGAGCGAATGCTTGCCATTGTGGATGACATCAAGAAGAAGTGCTGCTATGTGGCCCTTGATTTCAAGGCGGAGTGGAACCGTCCCGAGGAAAAATACATGGTGGACTACCGGTTGCCGGATGGCAGGAAATGAACCTCATGCCTGTAGGTTTCCTTCACTTTAATTCAACCCCTCCACCTGGGAGATATTTTAAGAATGGAATTCAGATTTATCCCCGTTTCCAAAGGCAGTAGATTTAGAAGTATCTTGAATTCATTTTTCAGGAGAGTGTGGATTTCTTTACGAGGTTCAGGGGTTGAATATCAACCCAAAATATTTCTTTCCTTTCTTATTTGTTTCTTCCTTCCTTCTTTTCCTGCTTTTCTTACTTCACCCATCTCTCTCTTTCCTTCCTTCTTTTCCTGCCTTTCTTACTTCCTCCTATCTCCTTCCTTCCTTCCTTTTCTTGCCTTTCTTACTTCCCCCTATCTCTCCTTCCTTCCTTCCTTCCTTCCTTCCTTCCTTCCTTCTACTACAGTCAGAATCATGGCTGGTTACAGCACTATGGAAGTTCAAGTCCATGCAAAGATTTCAAAAATCATGTAAAAATTGTTTAAACCAGTGAAAAGGGTCAAAGCAGTAGCTGTAATAAGAGAAACTCAAGACACAATTCATAATGAATGGCCAAATGATTATTTACAAGAGAGAATGCAAAAGGTCGCATGATCCTTGTTATGCCAAAATTCAAATCAAATCCAAAAGAAGCCCTGCTGATCGCCTTGTTCAAAACAGGAGCAGACCTTTCCACCGCCTCCTGGGTCCATCCAGAACGAACAGCTGCAGTACCAGAGCCTGGCCATTTGGGGGCAGTGGTCACCCCAGAATGTCTTTCCTCGTGATGAATTTTCTGTTGCATAGAACTCTGAGTCTTAATGTCAAGAATTGCACACCACCTATTATTCTTTCTTTGTGTGTGTGTGTGTGTGTGTTGTTGTTGTACTTTTACACTGTCCTATTTGTTGTTGCATGTGTGGATTCTTGCTATAGTATTCTTGGTTTGTATGTGCCACCCTTGGGAATGCAGAAGGTGGACGTTAGAGGACGTACCTTCCTTAAGGAAACTAAACGCCACGGCCACATTGTTTTCACGTGACTGTCCTCCCGACTATTGAGGCAGATGTTCCGAACTGAAGGAAAAAAGTGGCGAGGCAGCTAATTGGGGACTGTTATTTTTAGTACTGTACCTTCCACATCAGCTGGCCTGCCTAATGAGTGGAGCCAGCTGCCGATAATGGAAAGAAGTTTTCCACACCTGTGGAAGGCGGTTTATGGCATGAAGACTGTGTCAAACCGAGTCATGTGTTTGTCCGTCCAGGCCCAGGGTTTGGGGGGGGGGTCACTTATTTAATCATCGATTTGAACAAAGGCGTGGCTTTTCCAGTGTCTGCCATGACTCCAAGGCGGTCAGGTCTTGACACCTATATCTTCGCGTGGAAACTAAGGGGACCTTCCAGTAATCAGGGGTTATCTATAAATAGATGATTTGAAAATAGCTGGTTCATTTTATTGCACTGAAAACAGCACAAAGTCTTGCGGCACCTTCACGATCAACAAGGTTTATTTGGCATGAGCTGAGCACACTGTGTAAAAACCTGGTGACCTTTAGAGTGTTTTAACCCTCTCTGTTGCATTTGATGCAACAAGCCATAAAGAAACGCGGGTACCTCACTGGTTATTAATTTTAATTAATTTAAATCTGTCTGTAGCCTACACAGAGACTAAAGTTGGACATCTTCTAAAATTACTGGGCAATTTAACTTAACCTGGAGTTTTTGCATCAATATTTTCCAGGTGTGGACAGAACAGGAAAGAAAGCTGTTGCCAGGCGTGAGGATCACCAGTGAACATAATAAAAACCTTATTTCTCCTCCCACTCCAACATCTGCATTACCCAGCCTGATGAGGGAGCCTTAAAGCAAGCGAAAGAAATGGTAAAGATAAAGGGATGGGACCATAAGGAGGGAGGAAGGGAATGCAAGAGAGATTTTTGATCTGGTAAGGGGAAAAACTGGGTATTCGGAAATTCTTAGGGCTGTTTTTACTCTCCAAAGCACATAATAGGGCAAAGGGAAGGGGCAGAATAAAGCCGTGGATGAGATCGTTCACCCTCATTGCAGTCAACTAAATTAAAAGACACCTGCTCCTTGGGAGGAAAGCAATGACAAACCTAGACAGCATCTTCAAAAACAGAGACCTCACCTTGCTGACAAAGGTCAGCATAGTCAAAGCTATGGTTTTTCCAGTAGCGATGTATGGAAGTGAGAGCTGACCGCCGGAGGCTGACCACCGAAGAATTGATGTTTTTGAATTGTGGTGCTGGAGGAGGCTCTTAGGAGTCCCCTGGATGGCAAAGAGATCAAAGGAGGGCAAGAGGAGAAGGGGAAGACAGAGAATGAGATGGTTGGACAGGGTCACCGAAGCGACCAACATGACTTTGACCCAACTCCGGGAGGCAGTGAAAGACGGGAGGGCCTGGCATGCTTCGGTCCATGGGGTCACGAAGAGTCAGACATGACTTAACGACTAAGCAACAATAAAAAATCCTGTTTCCCCTCCATCGTCTTTTCTCAAGGCTAATTCTAGGCACAATTACTTTCTTAGCCCTCCTGGAGATTCCTTCCTTCCTTTTCTTGCTTGCTTGGTCTCCCTCCCTCCCTTCATCATCACCTCCTTCCTTCCTTCTATCTTTTTCTTTCTCATTCTCCTTCCTCCCTTTCCTCATTTTCTTTCCTTTTGTAATGTCACCCCATTAGTGCAGTGCTCTACTCTGGGTGGTTTACAGCAGGGTAAAAAACACACTAGACCTAAAATAGAAAAAAACCCCAAGTATATAGCACTCAAACAAAAACTCCCCAGGAGCATAAACTACAGGATAAAATGCACCCGTGAGGCATAGAACAATCAAAAAGCAGAGAGGAAAACCCGCCAGGCAGGGTTGTCTGTAAGGCTGTATTTTCAGGAGGCTTTTAAACATGGGGATGGAAGGAGGGAGACGCAGCTCCACCAGGAGTAGAGACCAGGGACCTGGGTTTATGGGAAGCGGCTTCGTGAGATCCCAAAACAGGGGTTCCTTGAGTGGGATGGTGGAACGATTCCATTTGGATTCCCCTTGAGGGCTTTGACGTGTATCCTGATTCAGTCCGTAGCAGTTTGCATCTCCTGTCCCATTTCCATTTCCGCCCGAAAATCCAGAGCGGTCTGTCAGACTTCCCTGCGCAACACACGGTTGCGACTTGGTCCCCTTTAGGCTGTTGCTCACGGAAATCCGGCAACTGGATAGGTCTCAAAGAGGGGATCCAACGTGCCGAATTTCAGAGATGTTCAGTCTGTGTTCCCGGTGCGAATCCGTTCGTAAATCTGCTTCACTCCAGAGCTAAACCTGGGCATTCGGCTTTAGTCCAGACCTCTTAAAAATCATGGCCGGCCTGATTTAAATATGGGATTTTGGCTTGAAGTCCGCTGCAGCCTTCTGTTTCTGAGTCCCCGTGGTGTATGTGTCTTGTTCGCTGTGTTGATTATCTCAGGGCGCGCGCCGACGCTTCGTTTTCCTCCTCCATGGACCGAAAAAGGAATAAAATGTTCTGGCTCCCAGCCAAGCGTGTCTTGGGACGGTCGGGGTGTAAAAGCCTTTCCTCGCGAACAGATGGGTGCCGCTGGCAAGGTGGGGGCTTCTGATCTCGCCCGGCAATGAGTTTCCACGCATGGGTTGGCCCACATGTTCCTCTCAGTAGAAGGCACAGGAGCCCATTGCATTTGACGCACAGAGGTTGGCGCAGAGGGAAGTCAGCCATGGGCTGGAGAGTTTTTAAGTCTTATGGTGTGGAATCAAATCCACTTTCTGTCTTCCGCGGAGCCCTGGATTTCCAGTGGACGGCCTGGCGGGTTCACAAATGGGGCTTTCTGTCAAGAACTGGTGTCGTGCCGAATCTGGGGCACTCATGGCCGTGTCTGGAAGCCACTCATCCGTCCCCCCACACACACACCACCCAGGAAAGTCCAGAGATGTCAACCATGGAGTTAATTCATATCCACTGAACTTTTCACCAGCTCCAGAACCAATCTTTAGAATCAGCCCTTGATCTCAGCTTGCTGTTTTGGGCATCAGCAATGCCTGAACTCTGGCGGAGATATTCAGGGGCCTGACCCTCTTTGCAGGATTGGGCTCCACGCCCTGGACAGTGGTGGCAAAGTTGAACTCGGAACCCCACCAGAACAATGAGGATTTTTACTTTTAAGGGAAGGACTGTGTCTCTCAAAAGATACAGCTGTGGTTTTGCAAGTAAAAACTCCGCGGTTGACGTCGCCTGCGAGCGTTGGCAAAGCTTAACCCGATGGTTTCCAGTGTCCCCAGTAGATCAACCGCTGGAAGGTTAAGAACGAAAGAGAAGCAAGTGGACTCTGCATGGATGTCTTTAATTTAGAGTCAGGGAGAAATTAAGGAGAGAAGCGAATCTCACAGACCTCACCGTCTGGATGAAGTTGCATTTCTGCCCTTCTCAAAATTCCTTCCGGGGGAAAAACGCACCTCTGTTCAAGATGTCATATGCAGAGAATCCATGGTGCACTGGTCTATGTAAGGAGAACCCCAAAAATAAAGCAGGCAGCGGATTCCATCCCTCTCAGCCATGGAGGAGCAGGTGCTTTATAGAGCTAATGGCTTTGAGTTGCCGTTCAAGAACAAGCCACTCTCCAAAGCTTGGGAATTACAAATTGCCACCATCGACTGTTCTTTGGGAAGTCTGTTGGCCTCCCAGTTACCGTGAGGATGGCCGCTCAGCTAAGAGGAAGCCAGGAAGACCGAAGAGGGTTTGCTGGTGGGGCCATCGCTTTTACAGCTCAGAAAGTTCTGGGGTTTTCACCCTGCGAGCCCTGACTCTGGCTACGCCCTTGGAAAGGAGGGCAGGCACCCTTTTAAAATGTAGAGTGGCTGAAACACATCCAAGCCGGAGGGAAACGCGTAAAGGCCAACTTCAGTCTGCGGGGAAGTCTGTAAGTAAAAGCATAAATAAAACGTGGGAATATGACAATGAATGTGGACGTCAAGAGAAAACAAGCAGAAGGCAGAATACATAAACATCAAAAAAAATGTGCATAAAGACAGCCA